TATATATATAATTCAATCTTCTTACTAGCCCTATGAGGCTGATAGGCAAGTAAGAACTCTGAGGCTCAAAGAATTGATGGTGAATCTTTCATATTCATCCACTTCCTGTCAAAAGCTAGGGTTTTTTTTTATGGCTGAATAGTATTCCAAGTTAATAAATGTGATTGAATGTATAAGAGAAAATGAAATAAAACAATGTGAAAAAAAAAAGAATTGATGGTAAGGAATTTATCAACAATTATTGACAGAGCTAAGGTTTCTAACTCTCATCTTACACTGTTTCTCTTGGACCTTTTCTGACCATCACAACAGAAAAGAATAATCTGAATAGAATATCCCTCTAATATAGCAGAAGGAGAAAGAAAATATAAGTAAGACATAAGGTAACATCAATATGTTAATCAAAAAAGAATATTCTAGGAGACAGGCAAGAAAGAAAGTAAAAATATTCTATGTAACAAGTCTATTCAGTGATTCTCTGGGCATATTTCTACTAGGGTGTTTTCTCCTTAACAATTAAACTTGTATAAATATTTCAACATCACCAATATCTCTCTCAGAGACTTAAAACAATTTTTAAAAGAAGCAAGTACAGAAAAATGGAAAATACTTTGGGTTTGGTTTGGAGTCTTGTTTCTGTTGCTTACTCTGTGTAAACTATCAGAGATTCCATTTTTCCTGTCCATAGGTCAGAAACAACACCCCCTCCTCGCAAGCTGTTGTAAGAACTGAACGAATGGCTATGCGAACATGCTACCTAATTAACTGCACAACGCTATTCCAGTCTAAGCAGTAGTTCTCCCCATGGTTGTTGGATGATAGCTACAACTGTGTGAATAAGTGTCCTTCTCTTCCTGGATGCAGCCACCTGGGGAACTGAGAAGCAAAACTGATAAGATTTGGCCTCTAGGGGCCAGCAGGTGGCATAATGCCTGTGTCGCTAGACTCCCAAATGGTTGACTGCAGTTCGAGTCCCAGACCCAGTAGCTTGAAAATCATGCTGGATGTGTGTGCATGTGTGCCCAAGATCCTGGGAGGAGACTGTAGGAGAAGCGATGGTGGCGTGGCCATGATTTCTCACTTTCCCTCTCACTGTCTCTGTCTCTCTCAGGTGAGCACATGTACCCTAAGGTAAAAACCTCTAAAAAATTTTTGGCCTTCAACTTGTCCTTTCTTTCTCTCTTTCATTTTAAAATTTGCTATAGGACACTTGAGCTCACTGGAGAGAGACAGAGAAAGAGAGAGAGGAAAAGTGAGAAAGAGCCCCCTGGGGAGGTGGCTGTACCACAATCCTTTCTCTCCTCTTGGGATTTTGGGCATGCATGCACATATGCCTGGTGTGGTTTTAAAGCTGCGGGTCTGAGACTTGAGCTACACAGTCAGCCATGTGGGAGTCTAGCACCTTAACCACTACACCACTGACTGGCCCCCTTTCTCATTTTTAAAAAAGTTTATATTTATTTATTTATTTTCTATGTGGGAAAGAGACATCCCTCACAGGATCTTGACATTGCAATTCACCCCAGTTTTAGCCATGCGTAGGTCATGGGCAAGTGCATGACCAGGGTACTCAGGGAGGTCTTTGGACATAACCCCAGAACCTGCCCATGTGGGCCATCCCCACAGAGGGCCACATTTTACTGCTAAGCCATCATCCATCTCCACCCCAGTTCATTTCTTACATAAGGCCCCTGGCAGTACATACCATCCCAGGAGCTGGACTCCATCCAGTTGGCAGCATTGAAGAGGGAGGCAGTACCACCATAGCAGGCATTGGTAGTATCTATGCCTTCAATGTCAGTGTTGCCTGAGTCCTGGAAGAGTTCCATGAGCACTGTTTTGACAGCCTTGGACTTGTCGATGATGGTCTCCGTGCCCACTTCCAGCCGGCCCACAGAGTCCCACGGGAGCTGTATACGTTCCATCAGCCTTTGTACCACAGTCAGGCACAGGGAGTTGATGTCCTCTTGGACTGAGCAGAAGCCCATATGGGTTTGGCCCAAGCCCACCGTATACCTTCCTGCTTCTACCTTGTTATACTTCTCCAGGTCAGTTTGGTCCACATATTGGGCTGGGAAGTAGACCTCCAAGGCAAGGATGCCCACGTCCTTTGGCCAAGTATCTGTTTTGGCCAACGGGATGGCAGGAACTGTAGAAAATCTGTGGTGGCGGTAACCATCATAATTCCACTAGTAGTCTATAGATAGTTTCCTCAAAATATGGTAATATAGTAATTAAGAAATTCATTTTCAATACAATTTAACTAGATAATCTTCTACAAAAGGGTTATGTCCTGGTAAACCTATTAAAACTGTTGTAAGTAAACAATACATTTAATACTGAACTTAACTTACCAAACATCATAACATAGCCTCTACTACCTTAAATATGCTTGGAACACTTACATTAGCCTCTAGTTAAGCAAAATCATTTAACACAAAGTCTATTTTATAATAGAGTTAAATATCTCAAATTTGAGGTGCAATTTCTACTGAAGGTGTATCACTTTTGCACCATAATAAAGCAAAAATAATAAATCAATTGAACCATCCAAAGCTGAGTACTGTTTAAATCTTAAAGCAATGTTATCGGATGACTACAAATCTGGCATTATTATACCTTTCTGTTGAATTGACCCTTTTATCTTTATTAAATGTCCTTTTGCATCTTTGCCATAAAGTCTATTTTTCTTGATGTTAATATAGTTTTTTGATTACTGTTCGCATGGTATAGCTTTTTCTGTCCTTTTACACTTTCAACATCTCAGACTCTTTAAATTTAACATACATCTCTTATAAACAGTATATAGCTGAATCTTTAAAAAAATTTTTTCTTTTTTCTTTTCTTTCTTTTTTTTTGGAGAGGTTTTTGCTATAGGGCGCGTGTGCTCACCAGACAGACAGAGTGACAGAGAGACAGAAAGTGAGAAATCACCCCCCCCAGGGGGGATGGCCACGCTGCAATCCCTTCTCCTCCATTTTCCTCTCGGGATCTTGGGCACGCACACACATGCGCCCGGTGTGAGTTTAAGCCATTGGGTCCGGGATGTGAACCACAGTCGACTACGTGGGAGTCCAGCAACATAGCCATTATGCTAACTGCTGGTCCCATGAATCTTTAAAATTTTGTAAACAATTTTTTATATATATATATAATTCAATCTTCTTACTAGCCCTATGAGGCTGATAGGCAAGTAAGAACTCTGAGGCTCAAAGAATTGATGGTGAATCTTTCATATTCATCCACTTCCTGTCAAAAGCTAGGGTTTTTTTTTATGGCTGAATAGTATTCCAAGTTAAATAATGTGATTGAATGTATAAGAGAAAATGAAATAAAACAATGTGAAAAAAAAAAGAATTGATGGTAAGGAATTTATCAACAATTATTGACAGAGCTAAGGTTTCTAACTCTCATCTTACACTGTTTCTCTTGGACCTTTTCTGACCATCACAACAGAAAAGAATAATCTGAATAGAATATCCCTCTAATATAGCAGAAGGAGAAAGAAAATATAAGTAAGACATAAGGTAACATCAATATGTTAATCAAAAAAGAATATTCTAGGAGACAGGCAAGAAAGAAAGTAAAAATATTCTATGTAACAAGTCTATTCAGTGATTCTCTGGGCATATTTCTACTAGGGTGTTTTCTCCTTAACAATTAAACTTGTATAAATATTTCAACATCACCAATATCTCTCTCAGAGACTTAAAACAATTTTTAAAAGAAGCAAGTACAGAAAAATGGAAAATACTTTGGGTTTGGTTTGGAGTCTTGTTTCTGTTGCTTACTCTGTGTAAACTATCAGAGATTCCATTTTTCCTGTCCATAGGTCAGAAACAACACCCCCTCCTCGCAAGCTGTTGTAAGAACTGAACGAATGGCTATGCGAACATGCTACCTAATTAACTGCACAACGCTATTCCAGTCTAAGCAGTAGTTCTCCCCATGGTTGTTGGATGATAGCTACAACTGTGTGAATAAGTGTCCTTCTCTTCCTGGATGCAGCCACCTGGGGAACTGAGAAGCAAAACTGATAAGATTTGGCCTCTAGGGGCCAGCAGGTGGCATAATGCCTGTGTCGCTAGACTCCCAAATGGTTGACTGCAGTTCGAGTCCCAGACCCAGTAGCTTGAAAATCATGCTGGATGTGTGTGCATGTGTGCCCAAGATCCTGGGAGGAGACTGTAGGAGAAGCGATGGTGGCGTGGCCATGATTTCTCACTTTCCCTCTCACTGTCTCTGTCTCTCTCAGGTGAGCACATGTACCCTAAGGTAAAAACCTCTAAAAAATTTTTGGCCTTCAACTTGTCCTTTCTTTCTCTCTTTCATTTTAAAATTTGCTATAGGACACTTGAGCTCACTGGAGAGAGACAGAGAAAGAGAGAGAGGAAAAGTGAGAAAGAGCCCCCTGGGGAGGTGGCTGTACCACAATCCTTTCTCTCCTCTTGGGATTTTGGGCATGCATGCACATATGCCTGGTGTGGTTTTAAAGCTGCGGGTCTGAGACTTGAGCTACACAGTCAGCCATGTGGGAGTCTAGCACCTTAACCACTACACCACTGACTGGCCCCCTTTCTCATTTTTAAAAAAGTTTATATTTATTTATTTATTTTCTATGTGGGAAAGAGACATCCCTCACAGGATCTTGACATTGCAATTCACCCCAGTTTTAGCCATGCGTAGGTCATGGGCAAGTGCATGACCAGGGTACTCAGGGAGGTCTTTGGACATAACCCCAGAACCTGCCCATGTGGGCCATCCCCACAGAGGGCCACATTTTACTGCTAAGCCATCATCCATCTCCACCCCAGTTCATTTCTTACATAAGGCCCCTGGCAGTACATACCATCCCAGGAGCTGGACTCCATCCAGTTGGCAGCATTGAAGAGGGAGGCAGTACCACCATAGCAGGCATTGGTAGTATCTATGCCTTCAATGTCAGTGTTGCCTGAGTCCTGGAAGAGTTCCATGAGCACTGTTTTGACAGCCTTGGACTTGTCGATGATGGTCTCCGTGCCCACTTCCAGCCGGCCCACAGAGTCCCACGGGAGCTGTATACGTTCCATCAGCCTTTGTACCACAGTCAGGCACAGGGAGTTGATGTCCTCTTGGACTGAGCAGAAGCCCATATGGGTTTGGCCCAAGCCCACCGTATACCTTCCTGCTTCTACCTTGTTATACTTCTCCAGGTCAGTTTGGTCCACATATTGGGCTGGGAAGTAGACCTCCAAGGCAAGGATGCCCACGTCCTTTGGCCAAGTATCTGTTTTGGCCAACGGGATGGCAGGAACTGTAGAAAATCTGTGGTGGCGGTAACCATCATAATTCCACTAGTAGTCTATAGATAGTTTCCTCAAAATATGGTAATATAGTAATTAAGAAATTCATTTTCAATACAATTTAACTAGATAATCTTCTACAAAAGGGTTATGTCCTGGTAAACCTATTAAAACTGTTGTAAGTAAACAATACATTTAATACTGAACTTAACTTACCAAACATCATAACATAGCCTCTACTACCTTAAATATGCTTGGAACACTTACATTAGCCTCTAGTTAAGCAAAATCATTTAACACAAAGTCTATTTTATAATAGAGTTAAATATCTCAAATTTGAGGTGCAATTTCTACTGAAGGTGTATCACTTTTGCACCATAATAAAGCAAAAATAATAAATCAATTGAACCATCCAAAGCTGAGTACTGTTTAAATCTTAAAGCAATGTTATCGGATGACTACAAATCTGGCATTATTATACCTTTCTGTTGAATTGACCCTTTTATCTTTATTAAATGTCCTTTTGCATCTTTGCCATAAAGTCTATTTTTCTTGATGTTAATATAGTTTTTTGATTACTGTTCGCATGGTATAGCTTTTTCTGTCCTTTTACACTTTCAACATCTCAGACTCTTTAAATTTAACATACATCTCTTATAAACAGTATATAGCTGAATCTTTAAAAAAATTTTTTCTTTTTTCTTTTCTTTCTTTTTTTTTGGAGAGGTTTTTGCTATAGGGCGCGTGTGCTCACCAGACAGACAGAGTGACAGAGAGACAGAAAGTGAGAAATCACCCCCCCCAGGGGGGATGGCCACGCTGCAATCCCTTCTCCTCCATTTTCCTCTCGGGATCTTGGGCACGCACACACATGCGCCCGGTGTGAGTTTAAGCCATTGGGTCCGGGATGTGAACCACAGTCGACTACGTGGGAGTCCAGCAACATAGCCATTATGCTAACTGCTGGTCCCATGAATCTTTAAAATTTTGTAAACAATTTTTAAATGGTCATGTTTTAATTGGAGTACTTAGTCCATATATGTATTATAATTACTAATATAGTTGGAATTAACTCTACCATCTCACTATTTGCTTTTTTAAGGAATTATTTAATTTAATTTAATTTATTTGTTATCATTATTTTTAAATAATGAGAGAGAGAGAGAGAGAGAGAAAGCCACCAGGTCCAGGAATCAAACCACTGTTGACCATGTGAGAGTCCAATACCTTAACTACCACACCACCTGTTGGTCCCTCACTATTTGTTTTGATTCGTTTCATATTTTCTTTTTTTAAAATTTTTGTTTTCCTATATTCTTTTTGATTTAGCAAATATTTATTATTCCATTTTATTTCCTCTTTTTAAATATTTTTTAAAGTGGTGACCCTAGAGATTTCAATATGCCTACTCAACTTATTATAATCTTACTAAAATTAGTACTTCTTTTTTTTTTTTTTGGAGAGGTTTTATAGGGTGTGTGCGCTCGCCAGACAGACAGAGAAACAAAGAGATAGAAAGCGAGAAATCACTCTCCCCAGGGGGGATGGCCATGCCGCAATCCCTTCTCCTCCATTCTCCTCTGGGGATCTTGGGCACACATGTACATGCGCCTGGCGTGAGTTTAAGCCACCGGGTCTGGGACACGAACCGGGGTCAACTACATGTGAGTCCAGCGACATAGCCATTATGCTAACTGCTAGTCCCACTAAAATGAGTACTTCTAAAAAGACCTTACTTAAAGTAAACTTCATTTATCTTCCCCATCCCTTTGAACCATTATTGTCATATAGTTTACTTCTATGTGTGTCGTAAAGTCATATAGGACATACATTTAAAGCATTCATTCATTTTACAAATGTACCTCTCATTAGTTTCTTTTCTCCTCCTTTCTTTTATCTACATAAGAACATATTCACCTTTTTTTATTTTTATTTTTTTGTGAGTTTTTGCTGTAGGGTGCTAGTGCTTACCAGAGAGATAGAGACAGAAAGCAAAGCATCATACCCCAGTGGAGGTGGCCACACCACAATCCCTTCTCTTCCATTCTCCACTCAGGATTTTGGGCACACATGCACACGTGGCTGGGGTGTTTCAAGCCGCCAGATCTGGGACTCAAACTGCGGGTGACCACGTGGGAGTCCAGCTCTTTAATCACTACTCCACCTGATGGCCCCCATATTCACTTTTTTTCTACTTTTAAAATATGTTTGTTGCTTGGTTTAATTCTATCTGCTTTTTCTGATTGGGTCTCCCTAAAATTTATTGAGCATGCTCAACATAACACTGGTCCGGGTATACAATACTGAATAAGACATCCTTTGTGCCCGCAAAGAGAGTACAACATAATAGAGAAGGTAAATATAGCCTAATAGGGGGTTACTTCAAAAAGTTCATGGCAATGGAATTGCATTATTAGTTATTTTGGTGCAAAACTAATCAAAATTAATTCACAGTTTGTCTAATACACATTTTCCATAAACTCTTTAAGGACTGGTACATAGTAGAACACAAAGGGCAGGAGGCACTATTAGAAATGGGGACAGAGAGAAAATGAAGGAGGAGTTAGTAGAAGAAGAAAGTGATATCTCTGTTCTGGACCCATCCCCTTGTCTTCAACCCTGACTCTAATATTCCCAGTGAAAATCTGGAGTTTATCCTCAGTTACAAGTACAGAACTCACTGAGTCCACCTTCCCCATGCTTGCATATGAAAATACCCGAAATCTGGTCACTGTAGTGACATTCTTCACTTTTTCATTTATTTATTTCTTCCCTGAGTGAGAGACAGAGAGATCGAGAGACAGAGACAAAGAAACAGACGCCCTTGTCAGAGTCTTTAAGCCATAATCTCCCCCTCCCCAACTCCAGCCAGCCTAGATCATGGGCATGTGTCTGCCCAGTGTGTTCGAGGGGATCTCTAGATCTGAACCCAAAGCCTTCCCATGTGGGTGAGAATCACAGAGCATGGTGTTACTGCTGTGTCACTCCTCTCAATCTTCATTTCACAAATATTGAACTTAAAGAACACATTATGAAGTGATGTAACTTCATAGTTTTTCATGAGTTAGGAATATTTCGTTCTTTCACTGTCATGGATATAGGCTTGTAAATTTAGCTCTGTGCCACAGGAACCATTAACTTAGATTGAATGATTCTGTCAATCATCTTCAGGATGCTAGACCTTTGGTAGCTCCATTTTTCCCATCAGGAAGGCCACTTCTAAGAATAGAAGTTGTTCTTGTGATCACTTGGTAGTGAGATAAACTTCTAACTGTTCATCAGTATCTGACAAGAGAAGTTTGAAATTTACCCTCCAAATAACTGGAGTTTGTACTCTCAAATATTTATGGAGGTGCCTCCTTGAAACCTAGGAGCTAATGGTTAGCCAGTGCCTGGTCCTGATAGCCGGATGGCTTCTCCTTTAGCCTTATTCTCACTCTGCCTTCTTCTAACCTCACTGGTTGGTTAGGAATCTAAGGTTGCAAAAAGAGGTCCCAAGAACCAATCTTGGTGACTTTTTAAAACTATCTTGGTAGGAAGCTATTTCTGGAAATGGATTCCAGAGGCTGGATAAAAGTTAATCTGTAGAGGTTCCAAGCATTAGACTATTACAATAATGAACATCCTTTTAATTGTGTGCTTTTGCTTAATAATTACTTCAGTTTTAAAAATGTTTTGTTCTGGGGGCCAGTAGGTAGCATGGTGATTAAACCACTTGGACTCCCACATAATCAACCGTGTTTTGAGTTCTGAACCTGGTGGCTTGGAAAGCATGCCGGTGTGTGTGCATGCATGCCCAGAGTACTGAGAGGAGAATGGAGAAGAGATTGTGGTGTGGCCACTCCCCTTGGGGTATGTTTTCTCATTTTCCCTCTTACTTTCTCTTTTTCTCTCTCTGGTGAGCCCACATGCTCTAAGGCAAAAAGCTGAAGGAAAAAATAGATTAAAAAACCATTTTTTTTCTGGTGTTTTCTGGTTCAAGAACACATACCACCTTCATTCCACCTTGCCTCCTTCATTGTGTTTCAAAATTAACTGTTGCATGCCAGGCATTGTGCTGGGGAAATACTATTGGAGTGAAGGGATTGGAAAAAGAAGAGAGGAGGCAAGTTTCTTGAGGAACTCCTTGACCAGTGTGAGGAATGATTTTTTATATATATATAAAAACAACAGCAGGGCAGAATGTGGTAAGAGCCACATGAGAAACATGGGCAAATTCCTACATGAGTTCAAAGACAGCAGATATTTCCATTTAGAGAGACAGGGGGATCAGGAGAAACTTTATGGAAGAGGCTACATCAAACTTGATAGATGAAGAAGCTTCTGCTGATGAAGAATTAGAGGGGAAAAAAAGAGCAGTGACCATGGTAGGGGGTGATTGAATAAGTAAGGGAACCTGAAAAGGTGGGTATATAGGGATGTAGGGAGACAGTATATGAGTGAGAAGAGTAGAAAGTGGAGGGCATCATTCTTAATTCTAAAAGCAGTGAAGCAGATACTTCTATTTAATCTGCATCCTAAGTTGGATCTAGAGAGTAAAAAGATTGAGTTAGAGATGATAGACCTATAAAGAAAAGGTTTCCCATAAAGAACATTAAAAAAAAAATTTACCAGATGTGTGTGCTCATCACAGGGAGAGAAAAAGAGAGGGAGAGGAAAGAGCACCCCCAAAGGGGAATAGTCATGCTGCAATACCTTCTTCTCCATCTCTCCCTCTTATTGGGATTTTGGACACATGGGCACATGTGCCTGGTATGTTTCTTGAGGTACTAGATAAAGGACTTGAACCATGGTTGGTCATGTGAAATCCAGATCCCTTAACTACCAGGTCACAGGCTGGCCCAGTATTTATTTATTTATTTTATTATTTTTTTGAGAGAGAGATTTTTGTTATAGATGTGTGCACTCACCAAAGAGACAGAAAGTGAGACATCACCCCCCCTCCCCCAGAGGGATGGCCCCTCCTCAATCCCTTCTCCAGTCTCCTCTCAGGATTTTGGGCATGCACGCACATACACAAGAGTGAGTTTCAAGTCAACAGGTGTGGGACTCAAACTGTGGTCGACCATGTGGGATCCAGCACCTTAACCTCTACATCATCTGCTGGTCTCAGGAACATTTTTAATATTAGGTCAAACCATGGAAAATGGGGTTAACTTCTTCCTTCACTTGTCAGTTAGAAATCTAAGGTTGTAACATACATCGAAAGAGAAATAAATGACAATGATGATCACAAGTTTGAACTTAAAGATAGGATACTGATGAGGACTGAGGTTTGTCTCTTGGCTGGTGACCAAGGGTTTATCATTGAAATAAGCAAACCTATGCCAATTCTTTCCTCACAAATACTGAAACAGATTAAACTCTGAGCTGGGACATTCGATCTGTAAACACAGTGGTTTGACGGAGTGGGAAGAGTGTAAATGATAATAGAACCATGAAGAAAATAAGAAGGCTAAAGAGCACCATCCCCAATCACATGCATCTATTCACCCAGGTTTCCTAGGTAGAAAGTAAGGACGGATACTAAATCAAAAGCATTTTTCTAATTATTCTGTATTAATAAACTATAGAGTACAAATAGAAGTAAAAAAGTCTAGTCCTAAGCTGTAGTGGATGGCTTAGGGGCCAGACAACAACACATGGGTGGCTGGGAGTCCCAAGCACTAACTACAGTTATGTTACCATTATATTGCAGGGGGACTGCAAGCACTTGGGTCAGACCAAGGAGGTGTTTACAAAGAAAAGGAGTGTGTGAGTCCTCACACAAGCAGTGCATGTTCACAAACATACAGGCAGATAAACAAGCACACACTCTTTATCTTTCATTCCCCCTTTCAGAAATTGGAGCACAGGAGAAACAGCTTATTTTGCATCTTGCTGCAGTGCCTTAAAGCCACTGCTTTTTACTAACACTGCAGTTGGTGCTGAAACCTGAGGGTCTTGGCAGGGTTGGGATAAAGATGGGAACAGTGGTAGGAAGGAGAGAGTGGATATTTCTACTACTCTGTCCGTTAATACAGCATGTGTCAGAGATTCAGGGTCCTCCTGTTTGGTAGCTGGAATGTCCTATCTGTTCAGAGATGAAGTATCTGAGGCCACAAGAGTTAACTTGCTTGTCTGAGGCTATGCACAAACCTTTCAACTTTCTGCTGGGATTCTAGAGAGTTTCCCCCTCTGGCAGACTCTGCCCATCTTTTACTGGCTCTGGGATACAGATCTTTGGAATGACATGACTCACCTTTGGTGGGCTGCTGGGAGCAGGCGAGTAGGCATGCAAGAGGCCTGCATTACTCTTTTCACTTGCAGGACCCGCTTCACTGGAGTCAACAGTCGCTGCATTTCCACAGGAGTAAGCAGAAAGCCAGCAGTTCACAGCTCTTGGGAAAGATGCCCAGAGATGCCTGGTTGGGCTTTATAGATCCCTGAGACTCCCGTCTCTGGAAGCTCCACCCTCGTTTATCAAGGCTCAGACTGCTTCTAAAAGTAGGCTAAAGGTCTCACTCAGAACATGGGCGAGTCAAAGGAAAACATCGTCTCTGTAATATGTACACACCTGCTCTGCTCCAGGGCATGTGTGGGAATGGCTGGTTCTGTTTTTTCCTTTCTTAGCTCTTGTGGCAGCTTTATTTCTCCCTACCCACTTGAGGAGGGAGGTTTAGATGTGTCTTGTTGTAAGGTATCCCAAGATAACCTCACCTGGCCTATCCGGCTCCTCATCTGAGTTACTCTCATTTGGTAATACCTAATTCTCTCCACAGTGTGAGCTGTTATTATTGTAGTGTATTATGCATTATATGAAACATCTTTCAAAACCAAAGGGAATGAATCTTTTCTTTTTTAAAAAAATTTTTTTAGAACTACCATTAATTTTATTTATCATTATTATTCTTCAGTTTGACCACAGAAAGATAAAGAGAAAGAGAAGGAGAATGAGAAAGCAAATCACCAGGTTTGAGACTCAGACCATGATCGGCCATTTGGAATTTCAGTGCCTTAACCATGGCACAACTTGCCAGCCTCAGGAGTGAATCTTTTCATAGTATCTCCTCAAGAAATTGGGAGTGCATATTGACACATGGGCAAAGGGCTGCTGGTAGAATATTAAGAGCTGCCTATATAGTCGCACACACACAAGAGTGAGTTTCAAGTCAACAGGAGTGGGACTCAAACTGTGGTCGCCCATGTGGGACCCAGCGCCTTAACCACTACATCACCTGCTGATCCCAATCTGTATTGCCTACCCTTATATTTGCCCAACTTGACACAATTTCCAAGTGGGATGCAATTACTGCAATAGAGATACAGGAATCCCAAAGAGGTGACTGTCATTTAAAGGTCAAGTTATTTTAAAGAGGAAATGTTTGCTTTACAAATGAGCGTATGTAGAAAGGTAGATTTTCCCAAAGACTGACGTCTAGTAAGTTGCAGATTGGCAGCTCACCTATGTCTTTTCACTCTAGATTCTTGTCTGTTTGTCTTGTTCTTTTACTTAGTAGAAAAGGTTCCCACCATCCAACTTATAAATGAAACTGTCTGCTCTCTAGTGGCAATCTTTATCTTCTGTGAGGATCATGCATTCAGTCATTAGTTTATTCAGTTACTTCCGAACCCTATACTTCATCTAATATAACTGTTTAGCACCCAGAGAAGAGCCAGAGTGGTTCCTCCCAAAGTTGAGGACTCCTCAGTCTTCCATCATCTTTTTTTTTTTTTTTTTTTGAGAGGTTTTTGCTATAGGGCGCGTGCACTCGCCAGACAGAGAGAGACACAGAGAACCAGAAAGCGAGAAATCACTGCCCAGGGGGAATGGCCATGCTGCAATCCCTTCTCTTCCATTCTCTTCTCGGGATCTTGAGCATGCATGCCCACATGCCCGGCGTGAGTTTTAAGCCACCGGGTCCGGGATGTGAACCGCGGTCGACTACATGGGAGTCCAGCAACACAGCCATTACGCTAACTGCTGGTCCTGGTCTTCCATCATCTTTAGAGTATAGTCTCCATACATTCTGGTGTATTATTGTCCTAACTCAATCTCTGACCTTGCTCTGTCACTTATGCTCTTCCACTGAGTCTTTGCAAAATTCTATCATTAGTAAAATTCTTCATTTCCAAACTCTTCTCTGAAATGTCCATTGTTGCTTGTCTATATCAACCTGTAGCTTTCAAATGATGGCTATGCTCTTTACTTCCCCCTTAATCCACCTCCCTCCCTACCTTGGCCACTGACACCCCAAATTTAAAATAAGATATTGTCCTCTGCTCTTCTGTGATACCTAACAGTTTTCCACTTCTTCATCTCAAAAACTCCTATTGTCTTAAAGTACACACATCAGTTCATGCCACCCAGTGCCTTTGTTGTCACAATTAACAATCTTGCTTCAGCTCCCTCATTCACAAAATTTAAACACGTGGATCACTGGCTTCCTCCCCACCATCAGTCCTCTAAACATTCTTGGAGATGTCAATTTCCACATAAGGTAATTTATCCACCCTGGACTCCCAGTTCCATCATCCTGTCCTCCACCATGCCTCCAGCTGCCGAGTCCAGTCATAATCTGGACCTTGTTATTACAGTATCTATATTACATCCAAAATTTTAACTCCATGCATCTCAACTTCTAGCAACTTTTATCCTCCCAGCTCACTTGTAAAGCCCCCAAATCTCTATCTTTCCCTTAGGCTACCATTGACTTCTCTGTGTTTTTACTATTTATACCTCACAGCATTTCATGGTCTCTTTTCTTGCACAGCTATGGTAGTTAGTTTTGGTCAATTTAACTGGACTAAGGAATTCCTAGAAAAACATTATTTTGCGTATATCCATGGAGTTGTTTCCGAAAGAGCTTAACATGGGAGATGTGGAAGATCAGCCCTTAATGTGGGCAGGCACAAGGGACCTGGAGACAATAAATACAGAAGATAAATGGGTCTCTCCTGACCTAGAGCAAGGTAGTATTCTTCCGCTGCCTTAAACACCATAACTCGAAGTCTGTCTTCGGACTCCAGACTTTACGCTCGTAGCATGCCCCATGTTCTTAGGCTTTCAGCCTTGGACTGTGAGTTATTTCATCATCTTTCTTGCTCTGAGGCTTTTGGACTTGGTCTGATCCATGCTACTAGAATCCTAGGATTTCCAACTCTCAGACAGCTTGTTGTGGGACATCTTAGCTGCTATAATCATGTGAGCTAATTCCCTTAATAAATCCATGCTTCTATATCTATACAAATCTATTGGTTCTGTTTCCTTAGGAAACCCTAATATACCACCTGAGAGTACCTATGATGCATCACCATAAACAATTCTTTTTTTTTTTTTTTGAATTTTGTATACTGATCTTTTCTTTATTTCTGGTTTTAAAATTTTAATTTATATTTAATTGTACACCTTTGTGAGATACAATATGATTTCTTTTTTTATTTTATTATTTATTTATTTATTTTTATTTATTCTAATTATTTTTATAAAACAGTCAATTGCTATTTCTCGTTTTGCTTGTAAAAATACTTTGCCCATCATGAAATACTTCTCAGACCAATCCAGTTGAGAATACTATACATGTCATCATCAACAGTTAATAACCCCTATCTGTTTCTCACTAACGTCCTGTCTCTCTATTGTTCACTTGCTATCTTTCTCTATCCTCTTCTCTTCACTTACCCCATTCCACACTGTCCTATTCTCATTAAGTACCTTCACTGTGTTTATGTCCTCCGAATTTTTGCTCTCTATTATAGAGTGCGGATAGTCGGTATATATTGAGTGGATACATACAATATCTTTCTTTCATAGCCTGGCTTACTTCACTCAGCAATAGATCCTCCATATCTGACCATTTTCTATCAAATTCCAGGGTCTTGTTATTTTTTATGGCTGAGTAGTATTCCATAGAGTATATATACCACACTTTTCCAATCCATTCATCAGTTTGTGGACATTTAGGTTGGTTCCATGTCTTGGCAATTGTGAATAATGCTGCAATAAACATGGATGTGCAAGCACTTTTCTGACTGAGCGTTCTCCTGTCTTTTGGGTAAATACCCAGAAGTGGGATTGCTGGATCAAATGGTAGTTCTATTTGTAGATCTTTGAGGAACCTCCATATTGTTCTCCACAGTGGTTGAACTAGTTTACATTCCCACCAACAGTGTAGGAGGGTTCCCTTTTCACCACATCCCCGCCAACACTTATCACTTTTTATATTCTTAATCTTTGCCATTCTGACAGGGGTTAGGTGGTATCTCATTGTGGTTTTTATCTGCATCTCCCTTATGATGAGGGATGTTGAGCATTTCCTCATATGCTTTTTGGCTGTTCGTATGTCTTCCTTAGAGAGATTTTTGTTCAGCTCATTTTCCTATCTTTTAATTGGGTTAATCATTTTTTTTCGCATAAGGCACTTGAGTATGTATTCTGGTTATCAGTTTCTTGTCTGAGGCATATTTAACAAAAATATTTTCCCATTCTGAGGGTTGTTGGTTCACACTTGTACCATAAACAATTCTTGTACATACTTTTCCTATTTATGTTCTCTGTCAGACTAGTATAGCAAGCCTTCAGCGTTTTTTTGTTTTGTTTTGTTTTGTTTTTTTGGAGAGGTTTTCGCTATCAGGCGTTTGCGCTCACCAGACAGACAGAGAGAGACATAGACAGAAAGCGAGAAATCCCCCCCAGGGGGGATGGTCATGCCACAATCCCTTCTCCTCCATTCTCCTCCTTCTCCTCCATTCTCCTCTCGGGATCTTGGGCACACACGCACACGAGCCCAGCGTGAGTTCTAAGCCACCAGGTCCGGGACACAAACCGCGGTCGACTACGTGGGAGTCCAACGACATAGCCATTACGCTAACTGCTGGTTCCCAAGCCTTCAACGTTTTTTAAAACTCATCTTTAAATCTTCTCTATGCTTGCATCAGAGCAGGTAAACTTGGCTAAAGAAAAACACACCATTGTGCTAACTGGTTAGCTTAGAATTTATAAACACACATCTCAAGGGGACCCTCACCATGGCCTAGAAATTGTACTACATTTCCCTGGTCCATTTGCTCTCTCAGTTGCAAGAGAGCTGGTTATGACCGCTCTCCTGTCTTCAACCCCTCTCTGCTCATTCTCAGTTGATTATTTTGTCTCTTAATCACTGAGAACATTGAAATGGTCAGGAAAAAAAATGACTCTATTTTTTGTGAACCAGTTCAGCAAACTGCTTCCATATCACATACTCTGCCTTCTCACTTTTATTATACTGAGGAACAGTGCTTGCTGTCGCTAAGGTCAACAACTCCACTTGTGCACTGATTGTATTGCTTCTTTTTTCATGAGGACTCTGCTCTCCCCTCTCCTCCTCACCATCAATTTTCCTTTTCTACTATATCATGCTTATCTCATTGTTCTTGTACACGCTCATCTTTAAAAGCTCCTCTTGACCCTATATATTTTATTTAG